TTGCTATGGAGTCACCCTTGTTGCCATGGAAGGCAGAGTGTTTCTGTCAGTAATTTGGCCTTGGCACGGTCTTGCCTGAATTTACTCTTAAAAACATATTGAGCCGAACAAGATGGGACAGCTTTCTTGCCTTGGCGTTGTGAAGTGGTTAATGCTCTGGAGGAGAATTCAGAATAATTGCATTATAGTGAAAACCTCTACAATGTGAACAGCCCTTCAAAGGATTTTATGCAGCTGAAAAGGTTCACAGACCATCAGGTTTTTCAGTGTACCTTAACTAGAGGCTTTGAAGCTGACAAACACTTAGTAATGTTCCCAAAGAATGACCAATTTCCCTTTTATTGGATAAACAGGAATAAGGACTTCAGGAACAAAATGTGTAAATGCTTTAGATTTTTAGTTTTTTAATGAAAATGAGCCTATTTCTTTTGCATGGACACTACTGTACCCCCATTCAATATTTTCTTGTCCTTTTACATAGAGTAGAACTAAACAGTTTAATTCATGTATAAAATTCAGTGAGGTATATCATGTGCTTTTCTGTTTCTGAGAATGTTGACAAATGAATTCAACATATGAAGTTGCACTATCTTTCCTTGCTGTAAATGACTGGGCAGCTGCTAAGTCTTATTTAAAAGGAATATTGTGAAGTGGACTTTTAATATTGTGCAATAAAGAAAAGCTATTTAAAATCCCTTTATGTTAATATCACATTTTGTGAGAGTCTATGCATTAATCCAGATCTACAGTTTAATACCATTATACACTTAATACGATCATTCACTGTGCAGTATGTGATTTAACCCTTATATAACACTGAATACAGTAGCGCAGTAGCTAATATGTGGTGTTCCACTTTTTCCCTTACCACCGTCATTACAAATTGCATGCAAGGAAGTATTTTCTTTCAAAAGAATTTTTTTTCAGTGTTAAAAGGGAGTAGTCAGTGTGATCAGGCAGCGCTCTTCTTTGTAGGTTCTTCAATTCTTTGAACAGGTAATATGTACTTGAGACTCAACACATGTACTATACGGTGCACACTCTATTTAGATGTCATCCAATAAAGAAGTACAATTCTACTTCACTGTCCTTCATTTTCACTTATCTGATGTTGCATGCTTTCCGATCTTTTTCTTCAAGTTCTTTTTAGCAGTGGTTGCACTAAGCATTTGTAAATTGCTGAAAAAGAATGCGTTCAGTAAAAATTCATTTATTCCAAAAGGGCTGACGTGTTTGATGGGAATACTAAAAGTTAATTAGGTCTACTCTGGTAATGCAGGATCAAATAAATATGCACAATAAAATATATTTGTATGTGGTACAATATCTGCATGTGCTTTTTCTTGGTTTGAAAACTTTTTGACAGCACTTGTTGTTTCTCGGCTCTCCACCACATCCTTCAGTGTTCACATTCCCGCTTCGTAATTTGGGCAGTGTTGCTTTTCCAGGTTTCCACACCCCTTATCGCCAGTGGATTAATAAAAGGGTGGCATGGTGGTAGAGTGGATAGCATTGCTGCCTCGCAGTGCTGGCACTCTGTGTTCTTTTCCGGGTCTGGGGTGCTGTCTATGTGGAGTTTGCATGTTCTCCCTGTCTTCACCAGGGTAATCTTCCAGGTGCTTCAGTTTCCCCCTCCGCAGTCCACAGACCTGTTGGTAAGTTAACTGGGTTCTGTGAAAGATGGCCCTTGTGTGAGTGTGTGTTCGTGTTTCTGTGCCCTGCATTGAACTGGTTTCTGACCACTTTGTCCCACTTGGAATAATAATAAGAAGGAATGATAATGCACTCTAATCAAATACATATTCAGCCAAGGCCGCCCTGAATGCTTAGTCATTAAATATCCCTTGGCAATTTTTGAAGAAATAAAGTTGTTAATTTCAGTGTCCTGGCTGTGTTCCACTTTGAGCTTGTGCTGTCGGGCTCCCCTAAAGTCCCCTCACGATTCAACCACAGAATCAAGCTCTACTACTCTGCCTGATCTTCTACATACTGTAGTAGATCTGATGGCACAGAATGACTGTTGCATGTTACCCAGGTGGGGGCTTCACTTCAGTGGTTTTCTGTGGTGTTAAGCAGACTAGAGAGAATATCATTCCCCTCCCTGGATGGGATGCCAGGGCATTGTAGGGATTTTATCTGAAATGCATCAGCTGTGGTTTCTACCTTTTAAGGTATAATAGAGCTATTGTGACAATAAAACTTGCTTTCTATGGCAGTTAAAGAAGGTGTATTTATCTAAAACAGTCCTTCCTTTGCCACCTACCAGTTTACCAACTGCAGAACATGTACATACTGTACAAGGTTTCCATATTGCATACCAAGTTTTCTCAACTGCAGGAAACCCTTGCTCATACAGTATTCTGTCCCTGTAAACGTTCGAAAAGCGCATAACTTTTCCACCATCTCATGACTCTGTTATCGTCTAGGCTCCCTAGCGTACTGGGCATCTCTGCTTCTGGCTGAGCGTTCGGTTTTGGATTTTTCACATTAGCGTGTGCGGGGTTTCAGTGCTCTAAGTACTTTATTTTCAATACTTCTGCTTTTTTATTATTTGCGCTCTGATTTAATTGCAAGCATGACCTCTTAGCCTCAGATGAGTGATAAAAATAAAGTTGTGCAAAAATGGCAAGAAATGGGATGAGTATGAAATTTTTAAAGGAGAAATCTACAAATTATATAAGCTACTGATGAATGTAACATGGATCATGAGAATTTTAACTTCTGTTTCAATTTGTATTTACCAATACAATCTTTTACTAGATTTCAGAGGAACAAGTAATAGGTTAATTCCATGCTGAAAAGAGAAAAAAGAAAATACAACTTTGTGTTTTCTTCTCTTTTCAGCATGGAATAAACCTATTACTTGTTCCTTTGCAGCCTACACATGCTGACGCAGCTACCCACCTGAACTACTTTTACCAGATTATGCTACTTCTATGTAAAATCCCGGGCAGACTGTTTCCTTATGAAAATTACTGTTACTGTAAAAGAAAAAAATATTTCTGTAAGGACAATCGTTCCTACAGTAGGTCGGTAATCTTAACTGGAATGAAGAAAACGGCACTTTTTGTGAGTTTGGAATAGCGAAAGTAAAAATCGTGAGACTTCACGAAATATTTCTGGCAATGTTCAAGTTGCATCTGTAGAGGAAGCACAATTCATGCATGTGGAACATAAGCTTATGCATGCCTATTTATTTTTCAAATGAGGCTTAACCACTTTGTTAACTGTACGTGCACAGATATTTTTATCTAGCTTTCAAAAAATTGAGTTTGAATTGGCTTCTACATGGCTTAGGAATTTGAACTCCTTAAATTTCAAGAAATACATTAATATACGGCCTGGAGATTACTGTTTTGAATCTTTGGTTTGACAATGGTTTTCCAGGGAACTATGCTCAATTGGTTCTTTGCTTCAGGGGGAGGGTGGGTTTTCTCAACTCTCTGTGGACCAGTAGTCCTTCTCACTTATCACACATCTGGGGGTTTGTTGTCTTGCTGCTAAAAGCTTGGTCAGTCCGTACGAAAGAATGGCTACACTGTATGTGCTGTGGTTTTGTGTTGCCGGAAGAAGTGGATTGGTTGATGATACACATTTTCCAAGGATTTTCATATGTTGTCTACATAATTCTTAGGCTTGCTTGGGGATGGTAGTAGTGAATTGGTAGTATTGGAAGGTACAGTATTTGATACATTCTTCAACTTATGTAAGTTGAGTTACATTTCTGGAAACTGTTCTGTAAGTTGAATTAATTAAAGTTGTATAATTCAGATTTTTGTATTGAGCCATACACATTTTTTAATTTTATACTTTGATTGTTGTGGGTAACTGTTTCATCCAATTCTGTGCACTTTCTAGTTAACATGAGCACATTTTGTGTAATATAATGAATACATTGTATTCAGCAATTAAAGTAACAAAAATATCACCCAAGCTGTGCCTGCAATTCCAAGTTTCACTTTTAATTCACCAAATACTGAAAATGATTACCATATCTCCTCTCAATCCTGCTTTAAGTTCAATAATTACAGAGACTTTTGAGACTTGAAGACAACTTACTGGACACTAATGTACCTGAAGACAACTTAATGTACACTGTGGTTCAGTGTTATTTTATACTTGCTAATATTTTCAGTTTGGAACAAATTAAATCTAGGACTGTTGTGAACAGTGAAACCAAAAAAGGCCTCTTTTTAAAAAAGAAAAATCCAGACCGAGAGATGTGTCATCACAACTTGCCACACCAAACAATGGGGATGGAAACATTCAAATACATCATCAGTTGTAATCTTCAAAACTGTGTATAATATTAAAGTAGCAATGTTGTTTTTTTACTTTAATGACATATCCACTTGGACCCTCTAATTTCTTTTCTTCTCATAATCTGTTTAATTTGAAGAAATGTAAGAAGAAAAAAGGCATGGTTCTTAAAATAAACTCAAATTGAGAAATACAAAGTTTTAGGATGTTGTTAAAGCATTCTCAACTTTTCAATATGGTTTGTTAAAAATAGGTATTACCTGCATTTGTTTGGAATTCTGGAACTGCTGAAAGTGATACGTGCATTTTTTTTGTATAATTTTGTTATAGGTTCTTATTTATACCACTTAAGGTTAATTTAAGCACCGCTTACCGTCTAGGGATAAGTGTCTTCTGGGTTTTCTTAGCACATTTGAAAGCCCTGGGGAACCTCCTTGGATTTTTTTCTAGCACCTAATAGTGATTGTCCTGGGAATTGTGGAAAAGGAGGTGTTAATACAGTCCAGGATGGCTCCTTGTTAGTGTAGAGAACTCTAATAAAATCCAGCTGCTTTTCCTTCCTCTAAATATAGACTGATCTGATCAGATTTACTATGTAGAAATATCTCTACCTACAAAATCATGAGGCCAAGTTTTTTTTTTAACAACAACATTTTGTGCTTCTCAGCTATAGAAAACTAAGCCTTTGTTCTTTATTGCTCTGTTTAAGACTGCTTTTTTTTTTCTTAAATGTCACACAGAGGATGAAAGTCCAGGGCAGCCTTATCACAGAGAGAGAAGGAACGCAATCTCACTACAGCCCTCGTCTGGAGGGCAGAGTATGGGCAAGATCAGTGAGGAGCCCTCGACTTCTACAGAGGAGCGGCCCTCAATGGTAAAAAAGGAGGTGCATGGCTCTCTGTCCCACCTGACTGATCACTCTGTGCCCTATCGCGGGACTCTGTTTGCTATGGACCCCAGGAATGGCTACATGGACTCTCATTACCGTGAGTATTCGCATGCTATCTACTTAAACCCAACGAGTGGGGTCTAATTTAATTAACTACAATATCTGTGATTCCTTGATTCACGATCCTTTACTTTTCAGTTGAATCATTTGGAGATAATTTTAAGAAAACTATCTAGTTTATTAAGAAGGAAATACCTGTGGGCAGTTCTGATTAGCTTAAGGTTCATTAAACAAAAGGTAAGACATGTCCTTCCGCATTTCTAGATTATAGAGGTCTGGTTGGCATCTTTACGTTCTATTGCAGTTTTAAGCTTTCAAAACATATGTTGTATTCAAATTTATTGGTACTAAAGAATATAAAGAATCAGTTCCACAGTTCCTGTTTTTTGTGAAATTATGACTACACAACTAGTATTCAGTTATTGCAGAACTGATTTAAGTTTACCGAGTGGTGTAGTTAATATTGAGGCAAGCAGCAATACCTAATACTTTTGCATAGATGAATACTGTGTCATTATTAAACCAATATTATATTAATTTTCTAATATTATCTATTGACACAAAAATGGAAAATACAATTAATAAAATAATACATTTTAGAATTGAATAAAAATGTTTTAGAATACAGAATTAAAGACACTGCAAAAGAGACTTGCAGTATATATTCTAAACCACTGAAAATTTAAGATATGCTGTACAGTTTCAGACTAGCCAACTTAATTTACTCTAGTTGTCTGACTCCTGATTGAGAGGATAAGTTTTGCTTAAAAGCAAATGGATTTTATTAGTTAGAATGAAGTTGTGAGTAAAGGCCTTTGCTTCCTTTGATCAGGTTAAGCAACAGAATAAGCCAGTAATATTATTAACTGTATTATTTCTCTCATGTACCCACATTGTTTCCAGTCTTCTGTGTCTTATTCTGGAATTGCAAACCGACTTTTCTTTCATTTTTTATTTACAACATGAGGCAAAGAGGTCAAAATATATGCACGTTTAAAGGCCATAAACTGTATTCTAGTTAAGGCATGTTTGGGCTTTGCCCTCTTTTTTCTTGTATTTCTAGAAAACTTTGTATGCGGGATGAAGCTTTCTTAATTGCTTCACTAAGCATCTGGCAGTAAACAGGAATGTTCACACATCTAGGTTACAGGGTTATTTTTTGTGTTGTTTCACTCTGATCAGGTTTTGCAGATGGGATACACTGGAATGCATGTTAAGTGTTGCTAAATTGGCTGCAAATTTTGCTGACAGAATTTTTTTAAACTTGTGTTATAATGAGGGCCTGCTGTCCTTAGCCATATTTCAGCACTTATTTACTTTGTATTCTTTTTGCACTACTGGTCTGGAGTCTGAGATCCTTAATAAAGCAGTTACTAAATCAAATTGGGCCTCGAGGACTTAAGAAGCAATCTTGCAACCAAAACATTACTGTCAATTATATACCCAGCACAGCTCAGCTTTGTTGCCACATTTCATTGCTTTCCAATGTCTCTGGTTTTACAGTCCAGTGCAATGGAGGTGAAGTGACTTCGGCCCAGGGTCATTGAAAAAGTCACAGCTTGAAATGGAGTTCAAGGCCAAAAAAATCCTAATTTCACAGTTCTCAAAAACATGGCAATCTGAAGAGAATGGAAGCATGCAATATTCATTCATCTAAATTTAGTATTTAAAGAGCCAAAACTGAAGACAGTACTAGGCTGCAATTGATAATCTTTGTGTTTGTATGCTATACATATTGTAGATGAAAGTCTGAATTCTTTAATAGAACAATATATACTGTGACCCTTTATGTATAAGAGATCGTCCAGACTCTGAAATCTCAATTTTAATGGAAGACTGAAATGAGAATTGAAGATCCTTTCCACAGTAGGTTGGGTCAAATAATTTCTTAGATAAACAGCTTGGAACACTACACAGTGTTATGCTGAAGGTAGTTCAGGGCTAGAACCACCTAGTAGAATATAAACTGCAGTTAGGAAAAAAATAAAGCAGAGTTTTGTTCGTTTTCTATCTGATCAAGGCTGATTACTTTATCATACGGTCTCTCTTTGTTGCCCACAATGGGACTGCAAGTGCTAAGAGAAATGCTTCAGGTCACAATTGTAATGAATGCCTTTATTAAATTAAGATTTGTTTTTGAGTACAGCTGCATTAGATTATTGGTATCTGTACAGTAGGGAGAAGGGACACCGTATCTCCTTTCCCTTTAAAAGAAAAACTTGGAAGGCCTGGGTTTCTGAAAGCCTGCGGCCCTTTGAAGAGCCAGTGGCGCCAGGTAAAGAGAATCTGAGGTGCGAATAAAGTGACCTTTGCTCCTTCAAGCGCTGTTTTGACCTTGGTGACCTTCCGCTTCAGCTCCTAAATTTGTCACAGGTGTGAGTGAGCTCTGCCATTTGGCATACTGCTGCGTCTGCAAAGCTCCCCGCGAAATCCAGATTATTCTTAACTTTTCTCCTGTCAGTGTTTAATGCAGCTAATATGCCAACACCTGGAGCCATTAGCACCTGGCTGTCAGGTTTGTGATGTAGTGCTTGAGTGGAGCAGGCACACCGGTCTTTGCAATATAGTCCTGCACTCCTTCTAGTGTTCTCCAGCGTCTTGCCAGGAGACCAGCCTAAGGTTCTATAATGATTTTACTTTACACCAAAGGTGTCGTGGAAAAAAGCCAAGTAAGTTTTAGAATTAGTTAAAACATTGTGATTAAAAGTTTCAAACAGAGGATAAAGTTAATATGCAGCTTACCACAACACTAATGCAGGAGATCTGTGGGATAAGAAAGCAGGATTTGCGAAAGCACTGAAGGGGCCAGTTTCAACTAAGAACTGCGAGTGTATGAAGCTTCTAAAATTGTTTATCAAATACCTCCGGTGGCATGTGCTATAGGTTGGAGGATCTGCATTAACACCACTAATTGTTTTGTTTTACACATTTTCTTTAACCAGGTTTTCTCTAATCATGTTACAAGAGTGTTTTAGAATTCTGTCGGGAGATTATGCTAAAGTTTCAAGGAAGATCTTCATTCTTAGTCATGTAATGACCGGAATGAATACATCCATAAAAAAATCCATTAATAGCAAAAAAAGTATTTATCTTTTACAGGCTTCAATACGTTTACCATCATGCCTTTAAATGCTGCAGAGCATCAGAATGTTAAATTATAATCTAATATAATTTAGAATTCAATGTAAGCACAGAAAACAAAAAGCAATTTATGTTTTTAAGTGTAGCCGTAACATATTACAAAGTAACTTATCATTGTTTGCTGCTACCATACTGTACTGAATCATTATTACTCTAAATCATCTGGTGTTTGGCCTGCCTCTTCCATGTACCCTTTCCTATAAAATAACTCATTGATATGTAGCTTGTCTGACCAGTGGTAAGCATTGGGCAGCAGGACAGTGTGGCTGTCTTTCCTCTAATCTGACAGTGCCAAAACAGCAGCCAGAGGTCGAGAAAATAGCAGACAAATTATCTCAGTCTGAATACTGCAAGATTTCCCATCACAAAGTAAATGTTATTTGAAAATAAAATAAATACTTGAAACTATTCAAATATGAGCAAAATAGTTTGAAATGAACTGTATATCCACTTTCTCAGCTATTTAAACGTACCACACTGGGCTCAGTTCAGATAGGCTCTTCTGTCTGTGCAGACTTGCTGAGCTGTCCCTGTGTTCGTGTGGGTTTTTGTGTGGTGCTCCAGGAAGAGGTTTGATTGGCAATTCTGAATTGGCCCTTTCTCCACGACCCTGTGATTGACTGGTATCCTGTTGGGAAGGCAGTTGTGTGCTGTTTCCTGCATTGTGCCCTATGTTTCGAGAACAGGCTCTGGTGAGCCGGCCCCTCACCAAAGTTAGTGGCTGTGTGATAAAGGGAGGACGGATAGACATTGGTGTAACAGATAGTACTGAACACCTGTTTTAATTTTGAAGAGTTTGAAAAAGAAATAACTTCTGTCCTCGTTAACCTGTGCAGTTCTCAAAAGGGAACTATTTAGTTCTTTTCTCCACAGGTACTTTAGTTCTTTTGTAATGCACTGTCAAATATTTCAAACAGTGAAAATATTAACATAGATTCACTATGTGTTTATTACTGGAAAATATTCACATATTGTACGAGTAAATCAATTTAGACATGTTCAAATACATGTATTCCTTTAAAATATTGTGTGTATTGTACACAATGTTACAAGAATATACAGTATCAGTACTCTGGAAACAGTTCAGAGAAGGAGAACCAGATATATCTCTGGGCTTAAAGATATACAGTATCCTACAGTGAAGCAGTGTGTTTTAAAAAAAATTCTGTCCCACAATTGCTAATACAGTATGCGAACAATAAATTGTTAATAATGGTGGCTAAAGAAGGTCATTTAAACTTTTGTCTCTGTAGCCTGCCTGTCTTTAATGTTTTACATTGTATTACTGTATATCTAATATTGTAAAAAAAGTCTAAAGCATGTAAATAAAATAAAAAATAATACAAGCTGTATATATGTGGTTAAAGTTGTCTGCCATATATAACCAGGAAAAAATAATGCAATAGCATGGCAAATAATTTTAAAGGAATAGTTTGATGCAATTTGACCAGCTTTTGTCAACTTCTTGCAGATAATCTGAAATTTAGTTACTGACCAAAATTGCACCATGAACTTTAAGTTTGGAAGCTCTGACATGAATATGAATATGAAAAAATGTCTGCATTTTCTTCATAGTTTTTTTTTTAGCATTTAGCAATATTTTTTATATTGGTAGCTTCTATATACTGTATATATTTAACTTCAGTGTTTTTTTTCTTCAAAATTGGACTTGGCAATTACATTTTTTCACAGTGATATGGAATTGTTTTTTTTTGCCAATAACTCCAGAGGCGAGACAGCTATGCTAAACTTCCCCTGAGAGAGCTGTTCTCTCGTTTTCACACTGTGAGTCCCACTGTGCTAGAAGCCATAGCAGTGCTAGTATCAAGTGAAGAAATAAGTGACTCTCTCTGAAAACACTGCAACCCGCAGTAGACAAGCAGCAGGGGTCCATGT